CAACCTGTTTCCTTGTGAATTTGTAGAATCTTCACACTGTTTGAAAACAAAGCTGTTCAAAAGTCTTCACAATAGATGGATGCCAGTGTCATTTGCTATACTCAATGGAGAATGTCACCAGTACACCGAGGATCACCAATTTGGGTCCAAAAGTTTTAATGAACGATCACATAGTTACAGCAAGGCAACGTTTCGGAGACTCGAAGGACCCCTTCATCACATGCCTGAAAGAAATCATATTAACCTAGGTGGATACAGAAGTGGTCCGATGCTGCATATGTTCCCCACTAGCTCTAAGACTAAGAACTGAGCAATCAAAGACTGATGATTCATCAGTTCTTTAAAGTCAGGATCTTTCCCTACCCTTGACCGGCTGAGTGACATCATCTGACAGCAGATTTTAGCCTGCTGTCGGCTGAAACCAGATCACAGGAGTGCAGAATAAACTGCACTCCAGTAATCCACAGGAGAAGTATAGCCAAAACAAGCTTTGGCTGTACTTCTCCTTTAAGGCTGGTGCAGGCATCTTTGTGTGCTTGCTAACCCTTGTCAGGGTAAACTTGCATTTGTAAATATACCAGGTGTTTACATTTAAGGAAATCCCTTTGCAAAGGAACACAGGAGCTTCTATTACTGGGCCTAGGATTTTCATCAATTCTTCAGGACAAACATGCATTATTAGAGGTCCTGGCACCCGATGTGAAATTCTTGCTCCAAGTTAGTTACTCCCCAAGTAGTGAATAAAGACAAGAAAATGTACATACTGCTCAAAGTGAGTTACTCATCACAGGCTCTGCTGCAAGATCTCTGGGTGCTGGTCTGGTTCCTTGCAATTCATTTAGAAAAAAGAATGAATCAGCACACTCCAGGCTGCAGCAACATTTTTTTTATTCATTGAATGGGGGTCACCTCTGACATGTTTTGCAATGAAAACAAACAGAGTGTAAAGCATGCACAAGAGCACTGGAACATTGACTCTCTAATACAAGCTACAATATCAGCTCTCATATTGTATACTGGCAGTTTTCTTTTAACCTGTCAAATGATAAGATTCACTTAACTGCCCCCTACAGCTGCATACATTTACCATCTCATTGCCTCTACACTGTTCTGTTCAACCATAGAAGCAAAGGAGGAGATGCAGTGTGTAAGCTACAAGCTATCCTGTGTACTGGGCTCCCACATGTCAACTGGTAACAAGGTAAAACAATGCTGCATCATGGGAGGAAAGGGGCTGAGTCACATGCTGTCCACACCTGAAGTACCAAGCATTTCACTTAGCTCCAGGGCGGCAAATGGAGTGGTCAAGGTACCAAAACAATGGCGAGCTGAGGAAGTGTGTATCATGATAAGATACACTTACACAAATGGTTAGATATTGTAGCTATATCCACTGAAAAATCTTGATCTCAAGTCACAAAAAAAATGGAATTTGGAAAACACAGAAATAGGTTATTTCTCACGCCTTTTGATAGCCAGAATATTAAACAATCATTGCACTTAGAATACATTAATGAACTTATGTAAACACATGATAGAATACTGCCACCTGCAGTCACTAAATGTTATTACAAGATAAAGTCAGTTTATTAAAAATGATATCAAAGGCATTTTTTTGTTTTAAAATAAAAAAATATGTTATACTTACCTGCTCTGTGCAGTGGATTTGCACAGAGCAGCCCCGGTCCTCCTCTTCTCAGGTCCCCCACCAGAGCGCCTAGCCCCTCCCTTCTGTTGAGTGTCCCAGAGCAACCAGCCTGCTATGGTGGCACCCAAGCAGACCCACTCCCGAGCTGCTGCTCTGTGTGTCCATTCACACACAGAGCCGCAGCTTGGCCCCTTCTCGCTCTTAAATGGGTCACTGTCTGTGACTGACAGCAGCGGGAGCAAATGGTTGCAGTTACTACAGATAAACAGGTACAACTTATGTAGAAGGGTTTGTTTCATCTCTGTGTATCACCTGAGGCCAGTCACTTCACTGGGTATATGTAAGGGTTCACAACCACTTTAAAACAAGTCACTCAATCTTCTAATACAGGCAAATGGGAAACTGGTGATTACTTGGGCAACACGTGGCCTATTACTCCTCCTTTGTGGCCCCCTGTGCCTATGTCCTCAATAGATAAGAAGTGCTCTCATTGAAGATCTGTTTCGTTCAGTTTAGCCCAGTTATTCACACAGGTTTGACCTGACTAAATACAGTAATAGAATTTCGTAATTAAAGTGTATGCAAAGCCAAAACCATTTTAGTTTGTTTTTAAAGCAGGAAAGATTTTAAAGTGTTATTAAACCCATAACAATAAAATCAGTCTGTATATGCAGTAAAGCATGCTTGTTATACTCACTATGGAACCTAAGGGGTTAATTCTCTGCATTGTGTTAAACGGATGTTTGATCCTGTCTTATCTAATTATCCTCTTCTTCCACAATCCCCAATCCATCTGCTGATAGAATAGAGCCTTGGGGCAAGCCGGGCATGCTTAGTTGGTGTCTATTGCTACAGTTATTTTTTTTCTTGGGAGAGTGCATGTGATCAGCGCAGGGCCAAGCAGCACTGGCCAGACAAAGAGGTCAGGGGTCCTGCATTATCATAGGACAGCTCAGTACACAGAAATTACCAGGTGAATGGGCTGACATTTACGAATGGCACTGGATAAATACAGCACCACCGATCCACCGTTTAAAGATATACCACAGTAGAAATGGGGTTAAACGCCTATCTGGTTATTTTTTTCTGCCTGGTAGATTTTTCTTCACTTCGGGTTCTGGAGATGGTACGGGAAATAACAGGAAACCTCTTAGAAGGGAATTAAATTACCATCTTAGAAAGTTTCTGTGGTAATGTGTGTTTCAATCACAGTATTTTCTCTCACTTCTTGCCCTAGAGACAATTAAACATTTTGGATTTCCTATCAGTTTCTGTCTCAGTGACAAAGGACAAAGAAAGTGAACCTACCAAGCAGCAACACAGACAAAACCTGACTGGGAGTTATAAATAAATACCTTTACATACCCTTTATCATTTTAACAGATAAGTTCACCTTTTGCCCAAAAATAATAAATGCACATCTTTGCAGGTAAACAATGTGTATTTTATTATTTTTGGCTGCAGGAGCCTGTAAAGCATTGCACCAGCGATCAGCAGATTGCTGGTGCCATGCAGGTCTCTTGCAGATCTGTTAATATATCAGTTTCCCCATACGAGGTGTACAGGCAAGCAGATTTACTGAAAGGAAGATTCAATGAACTACAAGCTGACAACAGCTACAGCTGTCGGGACTTGTAGTTCACTCATTCACAGAACTCTGTGAAAGAATGATGAGGCCCTGTAGGCCGAGCCCACACTGCAATGCTGTTTTTAAATCTGACAGATAGTACAGGGAACTTCTCCCTGTACTTCTGTTATGGGGGGTAAGCGGGTGGTAGCTGCAGCATTCGGAATATGTTCCACTCTAAAAATGGGTGGAACATGTAACAAGTTCCCAAAGGTGAACTTATCCTTTAAAATTAAACAAATACCTTCACATACACTTTAGCCAGGAATTCGCAAAATTGTATGAGTCAGCCATGCAATAGTTTTTAAGAATTTACGTTTACATACAAAATACTAAAAAAAAAAAAAAAAATCATTATAAATATGCAAGTTGTAAATTCAGGCTCCCAATACAATCTTTATTAAAAAGATTAAGGCTCCATGCATACTGGCACCAGTGCTTTTGGCAGAAAAAAGGACTAATTTTGAGCATTTTTGGCACTAGCATCTTTTTCCTGCCAGAAAAATGTTCTGAAAAATGCAAAACGGAAGGGGTTTCTTTTTCTGCCTCTAAACATGGAGCTTAAAAAAAATGCCTCTAGACTACCTAATGTGCATGGACACATAGGATAACAGTTGCTTCTACAGGCAAAACGCTAAACTCTTCTAAGGGCAGCGTTTTTTTTTTTTTTAAGCCAGTGTGATAGAGCCTAAAAAAAATTTAAAAATCATGCATAACAATTAAATGATGCTTGGTAAGGAAAATGCCCCATGTGTTCTACTTTAGCGAACTGACTGTAAATTTAAAGTGGAAAAGAGCACAATGGAAATAAGGTATCTCCAATGAATAACAGTCTATATCTGGATGGGTGCAGTTTGCTGTAAAAATTAGTTTAATTCAATGCAGATATACATCTCTCTTTATCCACCCTGCCACTGACAAATCTGGTTGTAGTAGTGTGGCATTTTGCTGTTCGCTTCTCCATTCCTCTCCCCTCACTGATTCAGAAAATGGATAACAACAGAATGCGAGCATTCTGTGAATGGACAAGAAGAGAAGAGAACTCTCATTGTCCACAGTTTATATTCTGTGAAAGGAATACAAGGCTTTTGGCGAAGATATGAGGGCAGAGGAAGAGGCGAGGGAACAACATGATCCCCACACTTTGCTACAGCCAGAACGGTCAGTCATAACACTGGAGGAAGAGTATCTGGCATGAATACGTTTGGTTTACAGTAAGTAGAAGCCAGTCAGGTAACAGATACTAGTCAGAGGTAACTTATTTGTGTTGTTCCCTACACCCCCGAAAAAAAAAAAAGTTTTTTTTTCTCTAAGAGTTCCACTATATCTTCCTGACACTCTGCAAACAAGTTGAAGGAACTTTTACATATGCTTCATGGTTTCGTCAAGAATTCTAAAAAACAAAATTTCTAAAAGGCAACACAAGTGTCAAATGGTTGGACAAATATGGAAACTACCTTCATACAGCACATGCATTGTCCTAGCCATTCACAGAAGTGGATCAAAATAGAAGACTCATATTTGTTGTATGGCAGCACTAATGGAGCTTAAAAGAGTTAGCAAAGTTAAACCAGAAGGTATAAAATAAACAGCATAACTCTCCAGAAACAGTCAACATTCTATAACTATGTAGAGATTAATTGTCAAGCTCATGTATATAAATGATATAAGTAACCTTTTTTGTGCTGAGGTCATAGCTAAAATAATGAAAGTTTGATACTTCACCTGGAAGTGGTATAGGCATGCCTGGAAGAGGAACTCGGAATGGGGGTACCATAACTGGAGGGAAAGCTGGGATTGCTGCTGTAGGCTGCGGCAAGGCATGAGGAACCGTTGGTGGCAATGCCTGGGAAAGAGGTTGAGGCAGAGCTTGCACTGATGAGACTGTGGGCAGAGATGCTGCCACACTGACTGAGGATGAGGTTGTCACAGAAACAGTCTGGGATTGCTCAGGAGCAGATAAACCTGTTATTAAGCATTAAATGGTTTGTTAACACTGAACACTCTGAAATGAAAAAGGCATTGGAAGGTGTGATTAAGATGTAATGCAAATTATTTCAATAGTATTTAATACTAGCTAAATTTCAAAGTTTATGTATGTGACAGTGTATACTGTAAAAATTATAGCACAAATTTTTTTACTGTAGAAGAAAAATTTCTGAAAGTTGCAATCCTTCATGTCTGTTCAGCTACGTGTATCTGGTCTAAAATAGGCATCAACTGCATCTTAGGAATCACAAAGAGACAGCAATTCTATTAACAGAAATGCATCTCTTCCTAACCACAAAAAAAGCCCAATTTACCACAACAATAAAGAAAAGCTGTAATGGCTACCAAAGTTGGTAGATCTACATGAAGAAACCTCTAGGAGCCTAATGAAAATGAACATGGAATCTACATATCTTAGTTTAAAAAAGAACGTGTAACTTACTAGGAACCACCTGTGGGACAGAGTTCGATGTGGAAGTATTAGTTGTAGACGACTGACTGGCTGAAGTTGCTGATGTAGATACCATTAATGAAGGGCTACAGGTTGTTGGAGAGGGAGCAGTGGCATTCTGCACATGAACAGGCTGACCCTGCACTTGAGCTTGTGCCTGAGCCACCTGAGCTTGTGCCTGAACTGCCTGGGCCTGGACTTGGGCTTGCACTACTTGGGCCTGAGCTTGTGCCTGAGCTTGGGCTGCCATTAATGGAGTCAGTTCCGACTGCTGGATAACCTTTACGCCATCAGGTTTAGTCCATGAAGATTCACGGGTTCGAGCATTGTAAAAATATGCCTAGGGGGAAAAAAAAAAAAAAAAAAAAAAAAAGGAAAGTTAAAATAAAACAAGTGGTTTAAATACAAACAGATAAATGACATTTACTTTGCTCTTCTACAGTAAAATACTAATAATGCACTATAAAGGCACAATTTGGATGTGTAAGACAACAAGCATCCTGATAGCAGTCATGCACATATCATATAAAAGGAAGCAGTCATAAGAGGCAATCAGTACTTGGTGCTGGTTTTCCAAGAATATAATTTGTTTGCTTGATTGATTGTGAAGACAGACAATGGGGCAGCGAGATAATATGAATTAAAGTCTGTTAAAGCAATTTCCCCCAGAGTTGTTGGGTTGGTTAGAGTATACCAGGATAGTTTATGTCTGCTGCTGCCCCAAACAAAGGATTTGAGGACAGAATCCATAACCTTTAAAAACTTCAGTGGTAAGTAAACAGGAGATTGCCATAGGATATATAAAATCTTGGGCAGTAGAACCATCTTTAGTAGGTTAATTCTACCCATGACCCATAAAGGGAGCCTGGCCCACATCTGAGTTTTTGGTTTGATTAGAGCAAACAATGATTATATGTTTCATGATAATATGAGGGGGATATAGTGGTGCGTATACCTAAACATAGAAGAGAGCTAATGAGAGAGAGAGAGATGCTTGTTCCATAGTGGGTGAAAAATTATTTATGAGAAAAATCTGGGATTTAGCCCAATTAATTTTTACACAAGAGTATTTCCCAAATTGCTCAATGATTTGCAGTGTGGATAATAATGAAGGGCCGAGGTCCTGAAAACAAAGAATCATGTCATCTACATACACCATATTGCCCAAAGTATTAGAACACCCCTCCAAATCATTGGATTCAGGTGTTCCAATCAATTCCTTGGCCACAGGTGTATAAAATCAAGCAACTAGGCATACAGACTGCTTCTACAAACATTTGTGAAAGAATGGGTCGCTCTCCGGAGCTCAGGGAATTCAAGCGTGGTACCGTGATAGGTTGCCACCTGTGCAATAAGTCCATCCATGAAATTTCCTCATTACTAAATATTCCACGGTCAACTGTTAGTGGTATTATAACAAAGTGGAAGCAACTGGGAATAACAGCAACTCAGAAACAGAGTGGTAGGTCACGTAACATGACAGAGCGGAGTGAGCGCATGCTGAAACACACACTGCTCAGAAGTCGGCAAGTGTCTGCAGATTCAATAGCTAAAGACCTCCAAACTTCACGTGGCCTTCAGATTAGCACAACAGTGTGTAGAGAGCTTCTTGGAATGTATTTCCTTGGACGAGCAGCTGCATCCAAGCCTTACATCACCAAGTGCAATGCAAAGCGTCGGATGCAGTGGTGTAAAGTACGCCGCCACTGGACTCTAGAGCAGTGGAGGCGTGTTCTCTAGAGTGATGAATCACGTTTCTCTGTCTGGCAATCCGATGGTCATGTCTGGGTTTGGCAGTTGCCAGGAGAATGGTAGTTGTCTGACTGCATTGGGACAAATCTGACTGCAATGTGCCAAGTGTAAAGTTTGGTGGAGGGGAGATTATGGTATGGCATGCCAAGATATTTTCATGCTCCCAACTTTGTGGGAACAGTCTGGGGATGGCCCCTTCCTCTTCCAACATGTTTGCGCACCAGTGCACAAAGCAAGGTCCATAAAGACATGGATGAGCGAGTTTGGGGTGGAGGAACTTGACTGGGCTGCACAGAGTCCTGACCTCAACCTGATAGAACTCCTTTGGGATGAATTAAAGTGGAGACTTCTCGTCCAACATCAGTGCCTGACCTCACAAATGCGCTTCGTGAAGAATGGTCAAACATTCCCATAGACACACTCCTAAACCTTGTGGACAGCCTTCCCAGAAGAGTTGAAGCTGTTATAGCTGTAAAGGGCGGGGCCAACTCAATACTGAACCCTACGGACTAAGACTGGGATGCCATTAAAGTTCATGTGCGTGTAAAGGCAGGCGTCCCAATACTTTTGGCAATATAGTGTATATCCCAATGGTCTTGACAAACGGCCCCACTCAGACTCATATAGAAAGGTTGGACCAGATGTATATCGTGAGTGGTTCTGCTACAAAAATGCTTTTAAATCACCATACTCTTCTGAAGAAGTGGATGTTGATCTGAGAAATGCTCCAGAGTAAAATGTCTTTTGAGGACCTTTTTACAGCACTAATATATACATGCATGTGCAAAGGCAGATATACCTTGAAAAAGTAGCAGTAAAATAATCACAGGCAATCAGATAGCCTCTGCATAAGATTTCTTTGGTTCTTCCCGCTACTTCCTATTAAAATGTGCCTACTGAGAAAATATATCTCCCATGATTCACACCTCTGGGAAGATTTTATAGGCGTTTCTTTGAGCCAAGGAATGTTTTACTCAACTGGCCACTTTGCAAAGTGAGAGCAAGCAACATCGCCAGTCATTTAAACAGGAGGCTTCTGCAAAAAAGCAAAGTGCAGGAAAAACATGTATGTATATATATATATATATATATATATATATATATATATATATATATATATATATATATATATGGATTCTGCTTGTACTGGGAGGAAAAAGGTATCTTAATCCTCTGTGCATCTAACTAAACTCAGCTCTAACGGTGGGAGCCACCCTCTTTGCACTGGTATAAACGTGTAACTGAATCTGGAAACCAAGCATTATTTCTGGAAATGATCAAACATAAGTGAATTACAAACCTTGCCATCTGGGGTCTTATTTTCCACCCAGATTTCTTCATTTGGTGGCAGTGTTGGTGCCTGTGTAGGCACAGTGTTAGGACTGGGATTTGAAGGTGTAGCGGGTGAAGAAACTGGCGGTATCCCTGGTGGAAACAGCATTCCTGGAGGTGGCATGCTTCCAATATGTGGAGGAATAAAGGGAGGTCTCTAAGTAAAAAAAATATACAATGGTTGTAAAACAAATGCATTTAATATAATAAATCGAATATCCCCTAAGCTCTTGTTCACACCATTCGTGCAGAAATACTGATGGAAACTGATGCACAGATTTCACTTGCAGAGACATTGGTTTACATCAGTTTTCAAGCATGCTGCAATGAGTTTTATACACATTGCAGATTCTTGCGCAGAACAAATCTGCACAATACTAGTGTTGTGGTGTGAATAGGGCACATAGAGAACAACTGATTTCGCTGTGCCCTTGCAAAAGCATGCAGAAAAACTGATGCGTGTGAACAAGCCCTTACTGTACAAGTAGAAAATACAAATTATTTGCCAGCAGGGTAAAGAAGTTACAGGTGCAACTGACATCTTAGCTGCCCTGCTATACAAATTGGCTGCCAAGATTCCAACTGGGTCTAAAGTTCAATGGCCTTTCTCTTATCTTTTCATATGACTGTTAAAATAAAAAAGGTAGCAGTTATTAACCACTTAAGTCCCTGAACTTTTAAACCCCACTTGAGTCCCAGAGTGTACCCCCCCCCCCCATTTCTGTGATTTCTCAGTTTTTCATCTTATACAATCTAGCTTTTGTAGTCTACCTTACACTAGAATTCTGTAAAACATTGTGTTCACTTATGTAAGCAATGGATGCTTGCACAGTAAATGCAAAAGTCAGATTACAACAATGCCAGATTTTCAGATATCATTTTTGGCATCTGATAAGGCTCCATGCTAACAATTTTTTTTTTTTAGCTCAAAAAAACAATGGAAAAGATGCTGGATAAAAAAAAAAAAGCTGGTAATATAATTTTTTAGGAGCAATTTAGAAGCGATAAGGAGCGTTAGCATTTTTACAGTACACGTAGGAAAGAAAAAATAAAGCTAAAAAAAAAAAAAAAAAAAAAAAAAAAAAAAAAAGCTGTTAGGAGCGTTCAGCATTTTTTTCTGCTGAAGCTTGAAATAGGTTTCTAGCCTACAATAGTGTGCATGGACACACAGGATAACACTATTTTGCTTCTAGGGGCAGAAAAAAAACTGCTCATAACTAGCTGCTAGGAGCTTAAAAATAAGCAGGTGTGCATGGAGCCTAAATCTAGGAAAAAATACTATATAAACTGCAACAAGAGCTGGAAAGTAGTGAAGTGGTGTCAGACATTAAAAGGCCATGGGTGAGATTCACACAGAATCTTGTGCAGCTGCGCATAGTAATCAATCAGCTTCTAACTTCAGCTTGTTTAAGCTCAGACAATAAAACATGGAAGCCGATTGGTTTCTATGCACAGCTACACCAGAATCTGTGTGTACCATTTTTAGTAAATCTCCCCCACATCTCGTTAGAACACAAACTCTGCAGGCACCACTCCAGACGTGCTTCCCTCTGGGTATAGCTGTTGTGAATAGCACTGGTCTACATTTAAATGTTGTTTTACCACACATGCACAGCAGCGACACAATGTTATTACCTTCCTTCTGCTACTGGGCCAGATATTACCACCATTTCGTGATCTATTGAAGTTACAGTGCCTTGAAGTATTCATACCCCTTGAAATCTTCCACATTTTGTCATGTTACAACCAAAAAACGTATATGAAGTTTATTAGAATTTTATCTGATAGACGAACACAAAGTGGCACATAATTGTGAAGTGGAAGGAAAATGATAAATGGTTTTCACAATGTTTTACAAAATAAATATCTGAAAAGTGTGGCGTGCATTTGTATTCAGCCCCCTTTACTCTGATTCCCCTTTCTAAATAGTAGTGGAACCAATTGCCTTTAGAAGTCAACTAATTAGTAAATAGGAGTCCACGTGTGTGTAATTTAATCTCAGTATAAATAGTACTTTATAAATACAGCTGTTCTGTGAAGCCCTCAGAGGCTTGTTAGAGAACATTAGTGAACGAACAGCATCATGAAGGCCAAGGAGCAGACAGGTCAGGGATAAAATTGTGGAGAAGTTTAAAGCAGGTTTAGGTTATAAAGATTTATTGCAAGCTTTGAATATCTCCTGGAGCACTGTTCAATCATTGAAAATGGAAAGAGTATGGCACAACTGCAAACCTACCAAGACATGGCCGTCCACCTAAACTGACAGGCTGGGCAAGGAGAACATCAACGAAGCAGCCAAGAGTCCCATGGTAACTCTAGAGGAGCTGCAGAGATCCACAGCCCAGGTGGGAGAATCTGTCCACAGGACAACTATTAGTCGTGCACGCCACAAATCTGACCTTTATGGAAGAGAGGCAAGAAAAAAAGCCATTGCTGAAAGAAAGCCATAAGAAGTCCTGTTTGCGAGAAGCCATGTGGTGGACACAGCAAACATGGAAAGGTGCTCTGGTCAGATCAGACCAAAATTTAACTTTTTGGCCTAAAGCAAAATGCTATGTGTGGCGGAAAACTAACACTGCACATCACCCTGAACACACCATCCCCCTCGTGAAACATGGTGGTGGCAGCATCATGTTGTGGTGATGCTTTTCTTCAGCAGGGACAGGGAAGCTGGTCAGAGTTGATGGGAAGATTGATGGAACGAAATACAGGGCAATCTTAGAAGAAAACCTGTGTGTGGAGTCTGCAAAGGAGTTGAGACTGGTTCACCTTCCAGCAGGACAATGACCCTAAACATACAGCCAGAGCTACAATGGAATGTTTAGATCAAAGCATATTCATGTGTTAGAATGGCCCAGTCAAAGTCCAGACCTAAATCCAATTGAGAATCTGTGGCAAGACTTGAAAATTGCTGTTCACAGACGCTCTCCATCCAATCTGACAGAGCTTGAGCTATTTTGCAAAGAAGAATGGGCGCAAATGTCACTCTCTAAATGTGCAAAGCTGGTAAAGACATCCCCAAAAACACTTGCAGCTGTAATTACAGTGAAAGGTGGTTCTACAAAATATTGACTCCGGGGGGGCTGAATACAAAATGCACGCCACACTTTTCACATATTTGTAAAAACCTTTGAAAACCATTTATCATTTTCCTTCCACTTCACAATTATGTGCCACTTTTTGATGGTCTATCACATAAAATCCCAATAAAATGAATTTATGTTTTTGGTTGTAACATGACAAAATGGGGAAAATTTCAAGTGGTATGAATACTTTTTCAAGGCATTGTATTATAGTGATCTATTGCTGGGAGAGCTGCATCAGCTATGCCAAAGCCACTGGGCTGACAAAAGTGCTGTGATATCACATTTCTTCCCATCTCAGTTTTTTTAATCACATTTTTGGTGTTCACACCAGCAAAATAGTCCCAGTGAATTGTAGTTCAGTAGTAGCAGTTCAGTACTCAAATACACTGCTTATAATCTTTCAAGGACCCCAGGTGGCTAAACGAATTTAAACAAAATATGTGTATGCATTTAGCAATGCCCCAAAGTTAATTAGAAAGCATGCAACAGGACCGAAACCGCCTCTAACACTTGACACACAGCTAAACACTGCCAGCTATTTTCAAGGCAATGCAGAAAATGATTCAAATAGTTACCTGAAGATGAGGAGGAGCTATTGGAGGTGGAATTCCAGTAGGGGGTGGCATTGGTGGCATATTAGGGTCAAAAGGAGGACGTCCAAATGGAGGTCGTGGTGGTGGCGGAGGTCCTCGCATCATACCAAAAGGAGGAGGTGGACGCAAGAGAGGAGGTGGGCCTCTTAAAACAGCAGCCGGGGGAGGTGTAGGACCACGAAATCGTAGTGCCTGCTGTTGCTGCGCCATCCTAAAATTAGATGAAAACATAAAACTGCAAAGCTTTAAAATTTAATCAACTTTAGTAAGATATTAGTATCTGCGAAGGTAGAAAAAAAAAAAAACTTTATAATCCAATCACCAATCAATCCAAACCAGGCATCTTTAAAATGTCAGAGAAAATGTGTTTCCATAAACAGAAAAAAACTCAAATGTGTAAGCACCAAAGAGGCCAAAGGAAAGAAACGTTTGAAGCGGATTTCCACTCACCCTGTCAAAAAATAAAAGTCAGCAGCTACAAAAACTGTAGCTGCTGACTTTTAAAAAACAGCCACTTACCTGTCTCTCGGTCCCTTGGTGTTTCCCGCACAGCCCGTTTCACCAGCCGTCCTGTTTTCCAGGAGGCCGGCATCTTCAGTGTGGGCACCCAGCTGTGGCAGCTTGCGGCTTCACAGCCGGTACCCACTGCACATGCGCAAGTAGCGCTGCACTTCATAAATGGTCCTGTAGTCTTCTGGGACCTGTCACGTGTCTCAAAAGACTACAGGGAGGGAGAACACCTTTGGCTTCCAGTTGCCTAGGTGATCGGACCAGAAGAGGGAGAGGGTACTTGTCAAATTCAGGTACCCACGCCCCAAAAGGTGCCAATCCTTAATGCGGAGCAGTCCTTAAAGCGGAACTTCCCCTTCTGGGTGGAGATCCGCTTTAAGGCTAGGTTCACATCTATGCAGGTGGTGCCACTGTGTATCCACACCACCCGCACAGAGGAATGCGAACCCACGGCCGGGTGCCATTAATTCAAATGGCACGCCACCCGCACCTGAAATCGCAACCGCACTGGAAACCTCAGTTCCCGTGCAGGCTGCGTTTTCCAAATAAGTGCAGGGATTTCTTTCCTGCCTGTCCTGGTACACGAGAGTCTATTCAAAAGAATGGGCTCTTGTGCCTGCGCAAAATGCGGCCCACACACCCACAGATATGTAAACCAGGGCTAAAGTCTTATCCCAGAAAAGCAGCTAAATAAGTAGATTTGAACTGTTCAACTTGACAAATTATTTTTCATGCTGTCTAGCCAGACTTGTAACCCAGGCACCCTGCTAGACAGAACAATCAGGTCTGCTATCTCTCTAGGGACTGCATTGCAGTTCAAATTCAACATAAAGCAGAAAAAAAAGGAATCCCATTAATTAGAATTTCATAAAGAAAAAAAAGGTTGATTTTCAAGTGGAGTACAATTGAAGGCATGATGGTTTGCCTATCTACAGCAGTTATAATGAAGATGCTTACAGGAAGAAGACCAGAAGGATGACTTCATCAATGTACTGCTTTTTCATTGTCAGCAGGTAAGGGAGGAATAAATAAAATAGGTTCTGCCATATGACGGAAGTCTGAGATGACAATCTTTCTTGAAGTTTTGCCTTAAGGTGCTACTAAATGATTTGTATGGTCACAGCATACACGTTCACTTTCTAACATCAGCATTGTAATAGCAGTACAAAAATGGTTATTGACAATCCATTATAAGCTTACTTAAAATCTCCTTTCATGTTGTGAGTGCTGCCTGTCTGCTGGCCATCTCTTTCCACAACTTCCTGGACTCCCTGCATGCTTTGCAGCTTCTCCTCTGCTGTTTTATTTTTGATTTCTAAACACTAACTATCCCATTGTACCTTGTTGCATGCAAGCTGTGATTCCTGTACGGCTTCCTCCTCCTGAAACTCCTGCTCAGCACCTGTGTAGTTCAGAAGGCAGGCTCTGTGAAATGTGTGACACAGCAGGGCCTGCCTAACCACAGAGCATAGTGAATACATGTCACAAAATTGAAGGAAATAAATGTGTGGGGATCTTCACAAGCTAGGTATACAGACTTCAAGATCATTCACATTAATAGCAGTAGGTTAGAAATAACTGATCTACAATGTGGAAATGAAAATATGATTTTACATTTTGACCATAAATACGCTAAAACCCCTCAATATGAAATGTGATATATAGTAGCATGTTACAGAACTCGCCATGTTTGCACTTGGCTTTCTACCTGCAGATTGTCACTTGTTTGCAGTCTGCCTTTAAGGTGTCTCTGTACTGTTTCCATTTTCATGGAGCCAATCTTATGTAAGCATTTTGCCTGTGACAGGCATGCAAGCACCCTGTTCTCAATGCACTGGGGATGAGGGCAGTCATCCAACTAAGGCTCATGCACTTCAACTCAGGGAATTATTAGCATTCAGTGGACGGAGTGTTTGATGTGAGCAGGTGACATTGCTCATTATATGGTGAACTTCCATAACAGCCCAAACACATAGATGGAAAGATGTGAAAAAGGATAGAATATTTTGCTAAAATAAATTTTACTCCAATGAGGTTAGTTTGGTCTCTGGACTGGATGCAATAGTTTTCCTGTGCATAATATGTCCAACAGACATAGTGCCCTGTTTGTTTCTGTATCAGCATTACCGGAGGACTTAGATACAAAGTTACCCGTTAAAAAGCTATTTAAGCCCTGGTTCACACCAGTATGACTTGTCAACCTGAGAGTTCAAAGTTGCATGACAATTCGCACCTCATTAGTGGCAATGGAACTGTTCAAATTGGTGCGACTCAAGTCGCAGTGACTTTGAAAATGATTCCTGTGCTCTATTTGTGCGACTTCACTGCAACTTGCATTGACATCTGTTACATGAAGTCACACAGAGTATCAGTAAGCCACAATGAATTTGCACCTAAAAGTAACACGATTTCAAAGCCGCACTAGTGTGAACCGGGGCTATAGCCAATACATTTTCACATAGGGATGGTTGCAATATGCATGCTTAAAGTGTTACTAAACCCACAACAGTAAAATCAGTTTGTATATGCAGTAAAGCATGCTTGTTATACTGACTGTGGAACCTAAGGGGTTAATCCTCTGCATTGTGTAAAAATGCAGTTTGATCCTGACTTCTCTGATCCTCCCCTTCTTCCAGTGTCCCCCTCTTATCTCTTGAAAAGATACATTGTGTGGCATCACTCTGCATATGCTCAGTTTAGTGTGTATTGCTAGAGGGTTTTTTTTTCTTAGGACAATCCATGTGATCAGCACAGGGCCAATCAGCACTGTCCAGAGAGAGAGGTCAGAGGATTCTGCATCCTCCTAGAGCAAAATGAAAACTCCTCCTACAAGCTTTAACCCATGCTCTGCTGGACACTGATAGAAGTCACAAGACTGCTATATACTGCTGACGAGAAAAAGGTATTTAGCAGTTTATATTTACAATAATTGCATTTGCATGTTGTGTGTACTGTGGGAGACCAGATATAGTGAATGCAGGGTTCTGGGTTTAGTAACACTTTAATTGTTGCTTCTAGATTCCAGCTAAGGCAGAGGTGCATTTACTTTTCTATAGTATTAAGGTTGTCACACAAACAATTAGAGGCATACAGCAAATTGCTTTAGATGGGATCACAGGCATATGCAAACAGCAATGGTGGGGAAGGGAAGCCTGTACAAAGCAATGAGGAAAGACAGGAGCTGTGACTGTTCGCACGTATCTGCACATCCAGCGGAATAAAATTGAGTCCAGGATAAGCACTACTCAGCCATTCACAGGAAGCCTTGTATTTTCATGAATACAAGGTTTTTCTCTGATTGGTTGAGGGGAGTGGCAGGTGGATGATGTAACAATCTCTACATTAGTCAGAGGAAACCTTGTATTGATTCATAAAATATAAGACTTCCTAAAAATGGATGAGCAGTGTTCAGCCCAACTCTATTTTGTTTTGGAACACACTTATACCACTGCTGGAACACAGAGCCGTATACAGTAGGTAGCTGATGCTACACAAAGTTTATAGATTGCTCCAAGTGGGTGAAGGCAAGTCTTATTATTCAACAGAAAAAGCTGCCCCACAGATGTAGCAGTTAGAGGGTTGAGACAAACACTTTACCACTGACAGGGGTGCTTACAATCATCAGCTTTTATGTAAAACTTTTCTCCCAAAAGCAAAAAAAAAAAAACTGTTGCTGTAACTGCTTATAAAGTATTAGGTGGAGTTTGGCTTTAAGTTGTTTAGTGTAAGCTAAATCTGCTAGTCCACCTAAACCTCCCTCCCGCCAGACTGACAATACTGCTATTTCCCCTGTGCTCCTTCGTCCAGAGTAGGAGCACTGTAATACAGGAGGTGTGCTAATGTCCAGATCAACAGATCAACAAGTGAAAATGGAGGGGGGGGGGGGGGGAATAAAACTCTTAAAAGACAAAAATGAATGCAGCCACCACATCTAATGATTGGTAAGCTGCAATATATTACATTCTGGCTCAAATTAATACTTCTTTAAAGTGATATTAAAGCAGAGTTCCGGCCACTTGCCTTGCAGCTTCACAGCCAGTTATCTACTACGCTTTTTGAATGAGCTGCAGTCCTCTGGGACCTGTTGAATTTCCCAGATGGCTGCGGGGGGGTTGAACTTCTGAGTCAGTTCGCCTTGCAAACTGAGCCAGAAGTGAGAGCGGATACCTGTCAAACCTGCTCCCTCCCAAAAAAGGTGCCAAATGTGTAGAGGGGGAGGAGAGGAGGCAGATAAGCGGAGCTTCCACTTTTGAGTGGAACTCTGCTTTAGGGCTTCCTTTATTTTAAATGAAAATAATAAACATGTTATACTTTCCTACTTTGTGCAATGGTTTTGTACAGAGCAGCCTAAATCCTCCTCTTCTCGGGTCCCCCCGCTGGCACTCCTGGCTGCTCTTATTCGCTTTCCAAGGGGGCAATCGTGCGGACTCGCTCCTGCTGCTATCAATCTGCTTGGTGAGGGGAGATAGGTGCAAGAGCTGAAGTTCTGATGCACAGTACTGGATCGACATGGGCACAGGTAAGTATAGGGGGGAGTCTGACACAGAAGACATTTTACCTTAATGCATAGAATGCACGGAGATAAAAAACCTTGAGGGCTAATTTACACTAGATGCAGTTTGGTGCGCTTTTTTCTGCATCAAAAATGCATGCACAGTGTTTTCCATGTATTCCAATGGCCCTGGTTCACACTAGTGCAGCCAGTTCTAGTCTGTTTCTGATGCACACAAAAAAAAAGAAGGACATGCTGCATTTTTTCTGCACAAAATCATACTGGAACATGGCAAACTGTATCAAAACTGCACCGGAGTGGAGTGTGGTGTGAACTGTAGGTATCCAGAATGCATCCGGAGTGCATTTTTGTAGTGTGAAACTGGCCATTAGAGCTGATTCACACATGTGCAGTGCAGACTGAGGCTCAGGTTTCACAGCCAATTGATACAGTAGCTGTTCACAGGTTCAGGACAGGATCAGATCAGGATCTCATCTTATTCAATCAAATCCAGTTTAGGACCAGATCCCATAGAAGTCAATAGCTTGTAATCTATGCCTGAACCAGACCGCACTGCTCAGATATCATACATGACTCTTTTTAAAACCACACTGAATCCGGCAGTGAACCATACATATGTGAACAGGCATTATAGGAAGCAATGGTGTTTCACATGTCATGCGGATTGGATGTGGTGCAAACCGCATCCAATCTGCATATATGTGAACAGACACTTTAGAAGGACTTTAAGTTCCTTTCATTGCTACGTGGATTACAAATCTTGCGTCTGGAAAGTGAGAGCTCTGGCATTGGAGTTAAAAGTGATTCCAAAGCCTAAACATTTTCAACCTTAATGCATTTTGTGCATTAAGATAAAAAAACAATGTAGATATTAGTATCACCCCCCCCCCCCCCCCCCCACTTAACTGACCCCGATTCAATCCAGCACCCTGCCAGCTGTAGTAGCTCCTCCTGCTCTCAAAGGCTTAGACACAGCAAGGGGAGCTGTTGGATTCGGCTGCTATCAAATTCTGCAAGGAGACAGTGGGGGGTGAAGCCAAGTAATGTGTGTGTCTATGGGTGCACACAGCCCAGCATGGGAGCAAGCATGCACATGTCCCATCATAGGAAGCAGGTAATTATGTTTGAAAAATACTTTACAATCACTTTAATAGCACTTTAAATTAGAAGTCCAGGTTTACTTTCATGTGAAAGTGATACTAAAGCTAAAAACTTTTTTTTTTTACCTTAATGCATTTCCTTGCCTTAAGGTAAAAAAACTTATCTGTCCTTCTTCCCTGTGTGAAGGGATTGGAGAGGGGGAGAGGAGATCCAGCACTGTGCACAGCTGCATCTCTTCTCCCCTCTCTTCCTCCTCACAGCACTAGAGCAGCAGCAGGAGCCATTGGCTCCTGCTGCTGTCAATCAAATGCAGTGAAGGTGGGGGGGCAGGGTTAGGTCTCAAGGTATAAGTCTTTGAAACCCAGCTGTATAAACACACAGCTCAGTAGTGCACAGACACTGTGTGCCTCCATAGCAAACGGCTTGCTATAGGGACACACACGAAGAGAAGGAGCCAAGATCACCAGCGGGGGAATCAAAGAAGAGGAGGATCAGGAAAGCTCTGTGCAATTCCACTACACAGAGCGTATGAATATAAGATGTTTGTTATTTTATTGTTTTTAAAATTCCATTCAGGAGGAACTTTGCAAATTTATCATTGAATACAAGGCTGCCTCTGATTGGTGGAGGGGAGGAGATCATGACATCATCTGCCCCACTATTTAAAGTGATAGTAAACCTGGAATTCTACTTTAAAGTTTGTATGAAATGTTAATGATGGCGTACAAACACAGTGCAGCCATACCCATTCTACACCTGTCCAGTCAGAGGAAGGGACACAGGACAGAGAGCACATCCAATGAGTGTGTTCATTAGAGGAAGCTGCAATGTATGTGTCCGGCATGGCTCCATCCACACCCAGCATTGCATGTACCTGGACAGAGGTAGACGGGGGGAGCTGCACTCAGGAATACGTACAGGGCTTCCATAGACACAATCTCCCGGCATGCCTTGCACTTGGTGCCATGGCCTCTCATACATGGTAATTCATACTGCCATCACATGTGGACCGCGCACATAGCCCGCCTTACACACGTCATTGCGGCCCACAGAGCCCAGCAGCGACAGCTACCCACCCCCACTCCGTGCCAAGCACTCTTCCCACCTCTATCACCTACCTAATGTCACTATTGTATCTCTCCGCATCGGAGTCCCCGCGCTCCGCCATTACAGGAACAACCGATAACCTCACCAATGCCCCACCTACCCACTCGCCACCTGACTGCATGATCCCGGCCGCTATTGGCTGAGGAGAAGAGCAATCAAACCTATTTCCGGCGAGTTTGATGACAATTTCCGAAAAGGGGAAGCCCAGGAAGTGACCGCTAGGGGGAGGAGGGAGCGGGGAGGTGGGGAGGAAACTGAGTGAAGAGCCCGGGAAGGTGAAATGCTGGCTGAGGGAGGGAGAGTGCCGGTGCCTCTGGAGATGTCAGTCCTGAGGAGGCTGACTGGAGTCTATTGGGGGGGGTAATTCTTACAAGGATACATAGGAAATGCTTCGATTCCTCTACTGTGCCGTGTACTGGTGCGGTGGAGAGATGGACAGTACAACACACAAGGGGTGGATAGAGCAAGGGAGGATTATAGCAGATGTACTGCAGGATACTTGCATCGCTGGTGCATGCCTTAATGGCCCAGGCCACCAATAATAATACATGCACAGTTTTATTCCTGTAAAAATATGTACATTTATTATTTTTGGTCAAAAGGTGAACTTATCATTTAAGCCAGTGATCTCCAAACTCTGGCCCTTTGCTTGCCTTTGTTTGTCCCTTGAGGTACTATTCCTCCCACTGACACCAACGATGGGGCCCAATTCCTCCCGCTGACACCAACGGTGGGGCCCAATTCCTCCCGCTGACGCCAACGGTGGGGCCCAATTCCTCCCGCTGACGCCAACGGTGGGGGGCCCAATTCCTCCCGCTGACGCCAACTCCCGGTGGGGCCCAATTCCTCCCGCTGACGCCAACGGTGGGGCCCAATTCCTCCCCGCTGACGCCAACGGTGGGGCCCAATTCCTCCCGCTGACGCCAACAATTCGACGCCAACGATGGGGCCCAATTCCTCCCGCTGACGCCAACGATGGGGCCCAATTCCTCCCGCTGACGCCAACGATGGGGCCCAATTCCTCCCGCTGACGCCAACGGTGGGGGCCCAATTCCTCCCGCTGACGACGGGTGGGGCCCAATTCCTCCCGCCAACGGTGGGGCCCAATTCCTCCCGCTGACGCCAACGATGGGGCACAATTCCTCCCGCTGACGCCAACGATGGGGCACTATTCCTCCCGCTGACGCCAACGATGGGGCACTATTCCTCCCGCGACTGACGCTGACCAACGATGGGGCACCAATTCCTCCCGCTGACCCACTGATGGGGCCCAACCCCGCTGACGCCAACGATGGGGCACCAATGCTCCCACTGACACCAACGATGGGGCACCAATGCTCCCACTGACGTACAACGATGGGGCACTATTTCCCACTGACTGATGGGGCACAATTCTCCACTGACACCAACGGGGGGCACAATTACTCCCTACTGACCACTGGGGCCGCCCCAATTCGTCCACACAACATGCGCAGTCTAATTTTTTTAAATCCCACTGAACATCAACTCTGAGAGAGATTGTTGGGGCATTTTGTATTCCCACTGGCCACAGTCCAGCACTCCTAAAGTCTGACGGACAGTCAACTGGCCCTTTATTTACGAAGTTTGGAGACTCCTGCTTTAACCACTGGCCCTCCTGAGGATTTACCCCCCCTTCCTGACCTGGCCATTTTTTTGTGTTACAGCGCTGAGATATTTTAACTGACAATTGCGCGGTCATGCAGCACTGCACCCAAATGAAATTTACATTCATTTTTTAAAGTGAATTGAGCTTTCTTTCGGTGGTATTTGATCCCTGTGCGTTTTATTTTTTGCGCTATAAAAAAAATACTGACAAGTTTGAGGAAAAAAAAACATTATTTTTGGACTTTTTGCTATTAAACATGTCCAGTAAAAAAAATTAAAAAGCAAATTTCATCATAAATGTAGGCCAAAGTGTATTCTGCTATACATCTTTGCTAAAAAAAAATTCCCAATACATGTAAATTAATTGGTTTACGTGAAAGTTATAGCATCTACAAATGGCAGTATATATACTGGGATTTTTTTTTCTTTTTACTAGTAATGGCAGCAATCAGCGACTTATAGCAGGACTGCAATGGACATTCTGACACAGCCATCCAAAACAGTGTGCCCGAGCTGACAGGGATGAAAGTTGTTAGTAAACAAAACAGTTCTCCCCATCGGAGATCCTCGGTAATCACAGATCGCCTCACACTCCTCGTGCACCCCCTCCCGGAAATGTAAAATCATGTACAGGTGAAACTCGAAAAATTAGAATATTGTGTAAAAGTTCATTTATTTCAGTAATGCAACTTAAAAGGTGAAACTAATATATGAGATAGACTCATTACATGCAAAGCAAGATAGTTCAAGCCGTGATTTGTCATAATTGTGATGATTATGGCTTACAGCTCATGAAAACTCCAAATCCACAATCTCAGAAAATTAGAATATTACATGCAATCAATAAAACAAGGATTGTACATAGAACAATATCGGACCTCTGAAAAGTATAAGCATGCATATATACTCAGTACTTGGTTTGGGCCCCTTTTGCAGCAATTACTGCCTCAATGCGGCGTGGCAATGAAGCTATCAGCCTGTGGCACTGCTGAGGTGTTATGGAAGACCAGGATGCTTCAATAGTGGCCTTCAGCTCTTCTGCATTGTTCGGTCTCATGTCTCTCATCTTTCTCTTGGCAATGTCCCATACATTCTCTATGGGGTTCAGGTCAGGCGAGTTTGCTGGCCAATCAAGCACAGTAATCCCACGGTCATTGAACCAGGTTTTGGTGCTTTTGGCAGTGTGGGCAGGTACCAAGTCCTGCTGGAAAATGAAGTCAGCATCCCCATAAAGCTCGTCTGCGGAAGGAAGCATGAAGTGCTCCAAAATCTCCTGGTAGACGTCTGCGTTTACCCTGGACTTAATGAAGCACAGTTGACCAACAGCAGCAGATGACATGGCTCCCCAAATCAACACAGACTGTGGAAACTTCACACTGGACTTCAAGCATCTTGCAGTGTGTGCCTCTCCATTCTTCCTCCATACTCTGGGTCCTTGGTTTCCAAATGAGATGCAAAAGTTGCTCTCATCAGAAAAGAGGACTTTGGACCACTGAGCAACAGACCAGGTCTGTTTTTCTTTAGCCCAGGTAAGACGCTTCTGACGTTGTTGTTTTTCAGGAGCGGCTTGACAAGAGGAATACGACATTTGAAGCCCATGTCCAGGATCCGTCTGTGTCCAACACTTTTGAATGGCCTTTTTGCTGACAATCCTCTCCAAGCTGCGGTCATCCCTGCTGCTTGTGCACCTTTTTCTTCCACACTTTTCCCTTCCACATAACTTTCTATTAATGTGCTTTGATACAGCACTTGGGAACATCCAACTTCTTTTGCAATTACCTTCTGAGGCTTTCCCTCCTTATGGAGGGTGTCAGTGATGGTTTTCTGCACAACTGTAAGGTCAGCAGTCTTTCCCATGATTGTGATTCCTACTGAACCAGACTGAGAGACCATTTAAAGGCTCAGGAACCCTTTGCAGGTGTTATGGCTTAATTAGCTGATTAGAGTGGGACACTTTGAGCCTAGAACATTGCACCTTTTCACAATATTCTAATCTTATGAGATTGTTAATTTGGGGTTTTCATGAGCTGTAAGCCATAATCATCACAATTATGAGAAATCACGGCTTGAACTATCTTGCTCTGCATGTAATTGGTCTATCTCATATATATTTTCAACTTTTAAGTTGCATTACTGAAATAAATGAACTTTTGCACGATATTCTAATTTTTCGAGTTTCACCTGTATATATATACGTGATTTTGCGCACCCATGCCGCCCTTTCGCATTATTTCTGCTATAAGGGTGGTCGGGAAGCGCTTAATGATGACATGTCGTATGAAGTATTAGAATTAAATAAATGATTTGTGATAATAAAGTTGTATTTGTTTTAATTCCAATATTGCATGTGCTGTTTTGTAGAAGATGATTTCTGATGGAAAGTCTAAGTAGTCCCATCTGATTTGCTGAGTTCATCATACAAAGTAACACTAAATGATATCCGTATTCTCCAAATATTATCTATACAGATCCACCATTTATTTGTCCTGTAATCTTTTTTTCATGAAATTGTTTCTTACTGAGTCTTTCTGCTTTCTTATAACATCCTCCATCCTCTGTGAGCTCCTGATCCACTCCTTGTCTCTCTCTTTTTGGGACAAGCAGTGCATATTATGTCCATCTTGGAAGTAAGCAAGAGAGGTGACATTCCTACATACAGGGGATTAAGGAGAACAAACGTAGCCACCCTCTAACAGGAAGTCAGATCACAGCAGCAAAAAAAAAAAAAGTTATTACCTGATAACTGTATTTCCAAGAATCTCCCAGGATAGCTATGCGAGAGATAGGCTGCTCCCACCTAGACAGAAAACACATGATCCACATTAGTTAAAAAGGATATTCCAGTGATGGACCTTCAGTGTGTAGAAAATTACCGAAGGCCACAACAGACCATATAAACATCGTTCATACATAATTATAACCGCGAATGTCAAGTCAAAAAATCAGAAGGGGACTGATGTTGTCCTGGAAGATTCTTGGAAATACAGTCAACAGGTAATAACTTGGTTTTCCCTAATCATCTCCCAGGACAGCTACGCAAGAGGAAAGGCTAGCATTACCTGCTTGGGGTGGGACTCCTAGCAAGACTTTCCTCCCAACAGTCTGGCCTGCTTAGACAGAAGTTCCAATCGATAGTGTCTTGTGAAGGTGAGGAAACTAGACCAAGTGGCTGCCCTCCAGATCTGGCTAGGGGAGGCGCCTGCTCTTTCCACCCAGGAGGCAGCCATTGCTCTGGTAGAGTGAGCTTTAATACCCCCCAGGAGGAATAAGGGACTGACTTTTGTAGCTTTCCTCTATAGCTTGCTTCATTCATCTCACTATAGTATTTTGTGAAGCTTTGTTACTCTGCTTGAGCGGCTGAATAAGACAAAAAGATTGGGAGTTTTTCTCCAGTCTTTTGTTCTTTTGATGTAGGCGATCCTTGTGGAAACCAAGGCCATCAGTAAAACCGTTTTAAAGGCTAACAGC